GTGCCGGTCTCCTGTTTCAGGCTCTATTTCACTATCGTGATGTAAGGATGATAACATGAAAACATTTTTATTGCGTTTAGGAACACAAGACACGATAGTCAAATCCTTCTGATAGGCGAAAAGTGACGTGTTTACTTCACGGGGTGCTTTGAAATTTGGTGGTATATATGCTTTATTGCTCTTCATGGTTCCAACAGCTGTTAGTTTATGACTTTTCAACAAATGGTCATATGTAGGGCAGCTTGTAAACCAGTTGTCCATAGTGACGTTTCGTCCTGTTTGAGAGATAGGGATCCTGGACTATACGAACAACTAAGTCATGTGGCTTATTACTCATTTTGTATGGTCCTTCTGGTTGTTCGCCCGCAGAGATTTCCATATTAAAAGAATAGTATGTCATAGCATCAACAAGCGCAATAATTTTTAATCCATATTTTGCTGATTTATTTGACAAATACTGGCGAAACCCACATCAGCCACGGAATGCCATCAACCCTTCATCGATCATCAGATTTTCGAATGGAACATAAACATCGTGGCAGTTTTTTACGTCGCCATATAATTGTCTAAGGGGTGCCAACTTGTCAAAAGTTATTCTTACTGCACGCGTATCAGTGTTATCGAATCTCAAACAATTCACTATGAATGCAAATCTTCTCAAACTCATAGTTATTGGAAACATCTCAATACCCGTTCCATCATTCGCCGATAAGTCTTATAAGCTTTCTCTTCCAGATTTGAATAATCCAGCGAGATATAATAATCCAATTACCGTTTATAATTCATTTGAAGTAGTTTCTATACAGACATAATCATTGGAAGCATTTTTGTTCTGCCTTATATCGCGTATCTTCAGTGACAAAAAGATGAAAGCAGTCAGGATCAAGCACTACATTTTTTGCATGTGATTTTACTCCTGGCCTCCCGGAGACAATATTTTCACTTCTTGTACGGACGCGGACACTTAGTGGATCGCGAAGCTATATTGTATTATCTTTTCCTTTATAAATCGATCTTGTGGCCAAATCCTCTAAATCCATCCAATCCTTTTCAAGATTTCCTCGTCACTACTTGAATTACCAGACCGGCTGAAAAGTTCGCGGCCTAGGACACTTAATATTGAGTAATTCGCTTGTTACTCATGTCATTAGTTGCAACACTCAGTAGTATTATAAAAGCAATCACTAATTAAGTTTGCACTCACAGCTCAATTATTTATGGAACAACAAACATCTCCATGTCGGCATTCCATGAGAATTTCCATGAATCTGGAAATTCTCGGAATTTTGAACACCGCGCCGTGATAAAAATCCTCGTAAAGAAGGGAAATACACCGAGACATTTTTGAAGAGATGTCATCGGTTCTTCAGAATTCTGCGCGCCTTCATATACGATTGTGAAAAAATGGGCCTGCATATTTCAACAAGGACGACAGAGCTGTGAAGACGACCCTCGCCCGAGCCGCCTTGTCACGGTACTGACCGAAGAAAACGTCCGAAAAGTCGAAAAATCTTTCTGGTCGACCGAAGAATTAAATTGTGACAGATTGCTGAAGAATTGCAGATTAGAAAAGAATGAATTGAAGAAATTTTACACAGACATTTGAATATGAGAAAAATTAGCGCGCGCTGGGTCGACTCGCAATTTGCAAAGATTCTTGGAGCAAGTCTGCGATACAAGGAAGACATTTGGCAATGGATAGTCACCGTAGATGAAACATGGATTCGCCAATATGATCCGGAGTCCAAACAAGAGTCCATGCAATGAATAAATAAAGGAGAAAGGCCGCTGAAGAAATTCAAGCTGGAAAATTTGGCGTCCAAGCTAATGGCGACAATTTCTGGGATAGCGAAGGAATTTCGCTTATCGACTACCTACCCAGGGGAACTAAGATGAATTGCCAATATTATGCCAATTTATTGACTCAAATTCGTGAGGCAGGCGTTATACAGAAGGCTTTATACAGAAACGACGTGGGAAACTGACGCGCGGAGTGCTTTTTTTGCAAGACAACGCGCCCGTTCACACCGCACATGTTGCGAGGCAAGCCCTGAAAAACACGGGGTTCTAAGAGATTGACCACCTTCCGTGTAGCCCAGACCTAGTAGCTAGCGATTTTTCCTGCTTTCCAATTTGAAAAAGGTCTTACGGGGCCGGAAATCAACAGAATGAACATCGTCTTCTTCCACATCTTCCTTTTCTAATATACGTCTTATGTCAGTATTACTTAATTCTTTGGACATTTTTACTGTAACAATAGATTTTTTTGATAATGGGTGCGTTTGGCAGAAAAAAGCGCTAGCAAGAGCTTGTAAGCAAAATGGCGATCGTAAGCGGTAAGAGCTGTCAAATCGTAAGTAGCTATTTTCCTCCAGGACACAATGTTAGTTTTAACCGGAGAACCTAACCTAATTTAAATATATGTTTGTAAAGTATTCATATTAAAAACTTACCAATCATGAATTTTTAATAACATGTATATGTTTATTCATGTCATTATATTACTTAAAACTAATATTGCACAAAACAACATATAAACTCTACTTCAAAACAAACAAATTAAATAAGCAAAATGGCGGATTGTGTCAGTGCTACTGAAATAGCAATCGTGTCCTGGCCGAAAACTATTTCAGCGCTTATAAGCGCTTGCTAGCGCTTTTTTCTGCCAAACGCATCCAATCATTTACGTTACAATACCATTATATTGCCAAAAAAATAAAACATTCACTTACCAAAAAAAAAGTCGGGTTACACGGACGCATACACGCGGAGAAGTGCGGGAGGCCTCTGGTCTATATCGGGAAGCTATAGAGACGCGCGAATATCGATGTTTTTCTGAAGTAGTGGGTCTGTCAGACCCACCAGGGTTGCGAAGGGATAAATTGAAAGGACTTAATCTTCCAAAAGCTACCCAGCCGAGTTGAATTTGTCAATTGACCTCTGTGTTGAATTTGGACTTATCTAGTCGGACTATTTGTCCCAGGTAAACATACTCATCAATACTTTTGAATAACTATCGGCATAGGTGAGATATGGACGTTACACATGATCTACGTTTTGTCCATGTCCATTTTAAGACATATCCGTTGGGAGGCGCTATTGAGGTCATTGAGAATAGTGCTTAAGCTATAAGAATCGCCATTGATTTTAATACCATATCTTTTCCAATCCAGGAGCTTGAAAATATCTTTCAATGCAGCAGTGAATAGTGTCAGGGATATAATGTCATCTTGTCTCACACCTCTCAGCAGTTTGATAGGTTTTGTACTCTGTACAGTCAGGTTACAATGACTATCTGAATACAGAACTGTACACCAACAGAACATATTTCAACAGTCAACTTGGCACCGCTAAGAAGACCTTAGCACCTTAAATTTCTATGGAAACTAAAGCTTTCTCAATTCAATTTAATTTGGGTTTTTACTTTCTGCCACATATCATCATCATTATTATCATTACAGCCCTTCACAAGTCCACTGCAGGACACAGGCCACAAGCCACAGTCCTGAGCTACCTGCATCCATCGACTTCCTGCATATCTTACCAGGTCGTCAATCCACCTAGTGGGAGTCGCCCTGCACTTCACCTACCGGTGTCACTCTTGAACTTTTTCCCCCATCGGTTGTCAGTTCTTCAAGCTATATAGCTAGTCCATTGCCACTTCAGCACACTAATCTGTTGGGCTATGTCAGTCATTCTAGTTCTACTACAGATATCCTCATTTCTAAGTTTATCTATCATGCAGAGAAATCCCGAGCATAGCCTCTCTCCATAATTTGATGAGCAATCTTGAGAATCCTCATAAGACCAGCAGTGAAAGTGCATTACAATAAACTAAGTAACAATGAACTTATACAACTAACAGCTATTAATACATTTATATATTTATACAGGAAGATCTAAGTGTAAGAATGGTGCCTACTGGGTTGCCCTGAGCTATGGGACCACCAGGCAGCAGAAGTGATATTCATTAAAATGGACCTGTTTAGTTTTTCTTCTATAGTTTCTCATAGTCTATATACACAAGACAAAGTAGCAGATTGTACACTTTGGTCCCTATACAATTGGCCGAAGCGAATGTAGGTGCTCTGTATGTCTATAGTGTTAAAGCCTTTTCAGAAGATATAAGTGGCAATGGGCTAGCCATATAGCTTGAAGAACTGACAATCAATGGGGAAAAAAGTTTCTTGAGTGGCACCTTGTACCGGTAAATGAAGTGTAGGGCGGCCCCCAACTATATGAAGTTACCAGGTTGGTAAGACATGCATGAAGTCGATGGATTCAGGTGGTTCAGGACCATGCTTTGTGGCATTTCTTGAGGGAGACCCTATGTTCAACAGTTGATTTGTGAAGGGCTGTAATGATGATAATGATGATGCCAAATAATTGTAATGCATACTGCAAGTACTGGCAAAAAGTAAAGTTACAGCCTATATATATCCCACTGCTGGGCACAGGCCTCCCCTCATTTCCGAGTTTTAGAGCAAGGAAGTGTCCGCCGCGTTGACCCAATGCGTGTTGGCAAACTTCACATGCCTTCGAAATATTTTTTTTCTTATTCCTCAGACATGCAGGTTTCCTCACGATGTTTTCCTTCACCGCCGAGAGTGTGGTAAATCAGTACTTAAAATTGCAATTAACAATTTCGTTGGTGCCAGCGGGGATTAAACCCGGGTTACTCATGTTCTGTTATATTTACAGCGAGCGTTAATCATCTGAGCTACCACAGCTCTTTTACTTTTTTTTTAAGTACTGGCAAGCAGTGTTTAAACATGTTTGTAGTTAATGATCACAGGTGGCTAAGAGTAGAACTTTGTGGCAATCTATGAAGACCTGTGTTCAGCGGAGGACTTGTGATGGGCTGTAGTGCGTGATAAGTATGATAGCGTATTAATTAAATTTAAGTGTAGACTATTATGATATTACTATACACACTATGAAGAAAAGATAATTAAATATTCAGTCCAAGTTGTTTACTTCTGACCAAAGAATATACTTACAGCAAAAACACTGGATACATAATATTATGCGGTTGTATACTAGTGTTAGGTTCTTGTAATTTTCGAAGAGTTTCATGAAAATATCCTCCTTGCAATACATGATCCGGAGACAAAAAAAGGCTATTCATATTGACAAATAAAAATACGCTTTTATTACCGTAATTTAAAACAAATTGAATGTGTAATATAGTAGAAAAACCAATTATTTTCAAACGAACTAACTATTTTTATCACCAAGTCAACTTGTTTCATAAAAATACCTTTAAATTTAACTTATTAAAAATAGTGAAGAAAAAGTGAACCCGAATGTGCCTAAATGAAACAAAAACAAAATGAAATGCCAAATGCAAAAGTAAATGACATTTTTGTTGTTTTTATTATTCGCTCGAGAGAGCAGGCAAAGGAACTAAGCCACACAGCCTTGTCTTTTTTTTAATTTGACTATATAGAATTTTGAAGAGTAAAGGCCGGAACCAAGTCTTATTTTTCTACTTTCCATCTCTTCAAAATCCATAATGGCCGAAGCCAAGTCTTCTTTTCTTTAATTCTTCATATTTTCAAAAACCACAAAGGCTAAAGCCAAGTCTTCTTTATATTATAATCTTTATAAGTTTATCCATATAGATTTATCAGTCCAGTTTCAAGTCAGTTTTTTTCTTCACAATATGCTGATGCGTCACATTGCGAAGCCCTTGGGAGATTTTGACGACAGCTCAACCCAGCGAAAAGTTGATGACGACAGCCACTCAAGTTCATAAGGCGCCTAAGCGATCAAAATAACTTGAGGTTTATATCGACATCAAAGCACTTGTTTCGTTGTTTTCTCTAATAGTTCACACCCGCAGACAATTAATTCACAAAATCACATCACTTTTACGAATTAAAATCCACTTCAAACCATTATTCAAGCGACAAAACAGGAGCGACAGTCCGTCGTCGGCCAAGTTCCCGTCAAAAACTCGTAAATGACATTGACAATGACAGTAACTTCATATTTTTATACTATATATAATAGGAGGGATTTGCAATTATACGGCCTAGTCTGAAATAACATAGACATTTTTTATTTTTTACAATATGCTTATAATCACCTCTATGTATACAAGTACGCTGGATTGGCTATACCATACAAAATGTCAGCTACTCTACCCCAGCCTACGAATTTGGGATATAGATATAAATAAAAATACGCATAGATGTGTTTTTAACAGCATTTCTCAAAAATGTTTATTATTTAAACCGCACCCCCGTAGTTTATGAATAAAACATAGGTAAATATCGCGCATCTTATAACGTCGATATCTCTTCAGATACTTACAATTCGGTATTTCTTATAATTTAAAAAAAGTGCACCCTGCTTGAATTTAACTCCACCATCGCTAAAAATCCTAAAAATGCAATACTAATTGCAAAAAGTTAATAAAACTCAATTTATCAATCGTCGAATTGCTATTACTATTTTTATAAATCCTTTATGAACAAAGATGTATACAGAATATGAAAGAAAAAATATGTATGTGTACGGAGTATGGTGCCACTCACGCTGAAATCGCAGTTGCATTCTGCAGGCTGCCGCCGTGTTTGGCACTATAGGTCAGCCGATTGGGATGGGATGCGGTCTTTCTTTGCATCCTACCCTTGGGGGCGGGTTTGCTTCTCGCCGGACGATCCCAACGTTGTTGCGGATTCTGTCGCTGATGTGGTGCTTCAGGGTATGGAACTTTTTATTCCTTCCTCTGTGGTGCCCATTGGAGGCAAATCTCAGCCATGGTTTGGTCGCTCCCGTAATATAGCATCATGCTATAAGCAGGAGTGCTACCAAGCCTGGGCTGACGCATCAGCGTCCCGGGATGTAAACACCAGCGCTCTAAAAAAGAAGTATAATTCCGCCTCTAGGTCCTTCAAAAGATTCATTGCCAAGGCAAAGTCAGAGCACATAGGCAGAATTGGCGAGAAACTAGTTCGCCTTCCTTCTGGAAACCGTGCATTCTGGTCTCTCGCCAAGGCTGTCCAGGGGAATTTCTGTCAGCTATCTCTTCCATCTCTCCACAGGGAGGACGACTCACTGGCCCATACCGCAAAGGAGAAAGCCGATCTTCTAGGCTCTTTCTTTGCGTCCAACTCGACCCTCGATGACGGGGGGAGTACGCCGCCGACCATCCCCCGGTGTGAGTGCTCCATGCCGGAAGTGCAGTTCACACAGCGCTCGGTTCGCAAAGCACTCCTCCCTCCCTGGACATCCACAAGTCGAGTGGGCCTGACGGAATCCCCCCAATTGTGCTGAGGACGTGTGCTCCAGAGTTGGCGCCGGTTTTAACGCGTCTTTTCCGGTACTCCTACTCCCTAGGCGTAGTCCCAAAATCATGGAAGACGGCTTTCGTCCACCCGATCGCTAAAAAAGGCGACCGCTCAGACCCGTCCAACTACCGGCCTATCGCCATCACCTCCTTGTTCTCCAAAACAATGGAGTCCATTGTAAACTGCCAGTTCATGAGGTACCTTGAGGATCACCAGCTGATTAGTGACCGCCAATACGGTTTTCGCCGTGGTCGATCAGCTGGTGATTTTCTGGTCTACCTAACTCACAGATGGGCGGAGGCAGTAGAGTTCAAGGGGGAGGCATTGGCCGTTAGTTTGGACATTGCGAAGGCCTTAGATCGGGTTTGGCACAAAGCGCTTCTTTCGAAGCTCCCTTCCTATGGGCTTCCCGAGAAATTGTGCGATTGGATCACCAGCATTCTTGCAGATCGGGGCATCAAGGTCGTTGTAGACGGTGCAAGTCGTCATCTTTTAAGTAAAAAATAATAATTTATTATTTCACAGCAAATGTCTTATTTTTTTAATATTTAAACAAATACTTCACGCGCAAACAAGTAATTAGTACCGATAACATCGCGCAATCAATTTATACTAGTTGAATTTTTAATAATTATTTCCGGGTACCAAATTCCTGAACCTGTATAGAGTCCGTTTCAAGAAAGAAGTCCCACGGAAAATGTGGGAACTAAAATTTAATGTATGGAATTTGACGCCAGATGTCAAACTTCGCAAAGACTGTGGTGCCGCGGCTAAGGGACTTCTTGAAACAGACTCTACCTACACTTTACTGAGAGGATAAAATGGCGGTTAATAGGGCTGCTCATATCGACAATTCTATAACAACAACAAGGACATAAGATTGTATGTTTTCATATTGCCACAGACTCAAGGAAAACTTGGGGTTTTTTACCCACAATTATTGCAATTGTGGGTAAAAATACCCCAAGTTTTAAAAACTAGTTTAAAAAAAGTTGTTTTTTGGTTCGTTCTTTTTCAAGTCTAAACCGTAGAACTTATTGTTCTGGTGGTTCCGTCAATGGCCCACAGATGGTTTTTTTAATGAAATAATTTTAATAATACTAGTTTTTGTCGTGTATCACATTATGATCAACATACGACCTAATACAGAGCTGCAATTTGAAAAAAAAACGCGGGCAGGTAATGCGATACGACGGGATAGGGGTCGGGGGAACAATAAATTTCACGCTGACGAAGTCGCAGGCAGATGCTAGTAATTACTATTTTTTAATGTTTAGTTTCCTACACCTACCTTTTGTAACATACAGATGATTGTGGGTTTCAATTAAAAGTCAACAATAATTTTATTAAAGTACTAGCTTTTGCCCGGAACTTCGTCCGCGTAGAAGAAAATGGTTCGCTTGGTTCCGTAGAATATTTATAATTACGTAATATTAAGTAATCTACAGAAATAAATAATAATAATAACAATAAATGTACTTAGACAAAGCATATAAAATATGTTTTATTTATTATTGGATATACAATTTCGTGTGGTTTTTATGTACTAATTCATTTTTACCATTCTTAATTATTTCTACGTTTGGTGCTACATCTTTAACAACTTTATAAGGACCGGAGATCACTTAGTTTATTACCTGACTCATATTTTAAGAGTACTAAATCATTTACATTGTATTTTATAGCCTTGGTATATTTATTAAATATAATTTTTTTCTTTTATCAAATTACTTCTTGCCTCTCTTTGTGACAATTGTAACCTGTATTTAAGCTCACATGGATAATGATCGTAGTTATAAAGTGGATCTAAATCTACTGTCAAATTACTAGGAAGCAAGTTCATAAGGACTGAATTTCGCCTCTGTATGAACTGTCGTATTATAGACAAACGACCAAAATGGTAACCAGTCGCTCCATGTTTCAGGGTGATTATCAATTTGAATGCGAAGGAAAGCATTTAAATTTTTATGTGACACTTCCAACGCACCTAGTGATTGGTGGTGGTAAACAGTCGAATTTAATTTACATACCACTTGGAATAATGATGCGGTGAACTATTTCCCTCTGTCAGTAGTTATTACTTTCAGTACTCCATGCCTAAGAATAAAGTTAGTAACAAAACTCTTTGCTACTTCGTTGTTTTTTTTTTAGAAATTAAGGGATATGCATCGACATACTTAGTGAGTTCGCATTGTAGCGTTAAAGCATAAGGGTAATTATTATTATCAACTTCAAATGGACCTACTAGGTCTAAATATATCTTTTCAAACCCTGTGTTAGCAGTTACGGGTAACGAAAATTTCTGACGCTGACGTTTGTCACAATGCCTAACAAAGTTCTTTACATCCATATATACCCAGGCCAATAATAATACTTTTTTATATTGTTGACCAATCTTCTCATACCTGCATGGCCACTGCTAGGTAGGAGATGGAAGTAATTTAATATCACCTTTCTGTCATCCTTATTATATATCGTTTTTACATTATTTATTATATGTACACAATGACCGGTCCTATCATTCATAGATTTGACTTCTTCAACTAGTTTTTTAATAAATTTCTTATTACCATCCTTCTTTATTATACATACTTCATTAACATTTATTAACTTAAAAAAATCATCTAATTCCCTCACAAACTCGCTTCGCATCATTCGTGAGTCGGAACTTAGATATTTAATATAAATTATCTTTTCCTTTTCAACATAACAAAATGTATTATTTTCTTTACTAATAACTCTTAATTTTCTCAATGTTTTCAAATCATCTTTATTAACCATACGCAACTCCACTGATTCTGCTGGTTTGACATGATTACTTACGACTTTCGGTTGATCAGGCCTCAAGTCTGTGGGTATCATGTCCAACGAGGAGGATCCTGGTTTATTTATTTTTCGCGATTTTGCTCGTGTCATGACATTAACGATTTTCTCATTTAATTCTTTTAACTCTTTCGAACTCAAACAGATTCTAGATAACGCATCTGCAGCTGCATTATCTGAACTCTTTACATACTCTACGTCAAAATTATATTCCTCTAATACCAAACGAAACTTTATAAGCCTGCTCGATGGATCTTTCATGCCAAATAGGTATACTAGAGGTTTATGGTCAGTCCTGATTTTAAAATATTGCCCATACAGATACGGTCTAAAATGTTTGACGGCCCATACTATCGCCAACAACTCTTTTTCTATAACTGGATAGTTTGATTCAGCCGTATTCAGAGATCTGCTGGTAAATGCTATTGGTCTTCCCTTTTTTTGAGTGTGTAATAGTGGAGACGCACTGTCCACTATTAACAGACTCCGAGTGGTTTTCTTTAAGGTGGAGAAATGAAACTACTGTTTATGTTTATGAATGTACTGTCGAATGGGATTCGGAATGGAATATATTTTGCATCAACCTTGCCTATATTTATATGGCTGGCTCACTATTGATTTGCCAATGGTAACAATTAATATTTTGCCTAGCCAATTATATTGCTTATTTTATGACCAATGAAAACTATTTAAAATATACAATTATCTACGTTTTCGTTTCCCGGCGTGAGACTTGTTTGTTGTTCACGAAGCTACGTCGCTGGACCGGGCTATATAAGACATGCAGATCGGTGCGCACGCGTAGTCGGCGGTCGGCGGCGGTGTGGAATACAGCTCCGGAACAGCAAGAGGAAACGAACTGCGGCGTTGAGGAAACGGCTCACCATTGGTCGACGGATACGTGACGATAGCGGCGTGTGAAGTCGGTGTGGCGCTGAATGATATTTGCGGCTGCTTCTTGTTTCTTTATAAGAACGTCAAATTATCTATATACAGTCCGCAGTATCTCAGTAGCCAAGAATAATTAGGAAATAAAATTTATTCTCGCCTTCCGCGTTATGGTAGCAGCGGAGTATATATTATTTATTCCCGTTTCGGTTTGATTAATCTGGCTGCTACATCACTCTCCCCCAGCGAAAGCGTACCGGAGGCTTGACGACTCGCCCGTATTTCGTAGTTTTTAAAATAGGTTTCAACTGGGTTGATGTAGATGATGAAGTTTCAAGCTTCCTCGCTGGTGGTTTTGATGATGATGATGAATCCTCTGCAGTATCCTCGTTAATAATATAGGCAGGCTTTAGTCGGTCGATCGATATAATCGTAGATTTCCTTCCGGGTATTTGTAGTTTAAAAGTCTTGCTATTTCTCTCTAATACTTTATACGGTCCATCGTAGGTAGGTTGAAATTGTTTTTTCATTGCGTCGTTTCTTACAAAAACTTGTTTGCATGTTTTCAAATCTTGGTGAATGAATACTGATTTATTATTTCTGTGTGATTGCATTTCGGTGCATTTCAACGATAAGGCTTTGTTAATTGATTCTCGAAGTTTAGTTACGAAATCGTAATCCATTTCTTGTTTGCTTGACGCTGCTGAACTGAAGAAGTCACACGGCAGCCTTATGCTGCAGCCGTAGGTTAGCTGAGCGGCGCTAAGACTAGTGTCTGCACGCGGTGTTGCTCGTAGTCCGAGTAGCACTGTAGGTAGCTCATCAATCCACTTTGTATGTTGAGATAAACGAGTTTTGAGTGCAGTCTTTAATGTACGATGCCATCGTTCGATTATTCCGTTTGACTGAGGATGGTATGCTGTTGTACGCGTCTTCTGTATTCCCATAGTTTGAAGAAGTTTGAGGAATAGGTTGCTTTCGAAATTCCTTCCTTGATCCGTTGTGATGGTTTTAGGTGATCCGAAACGAGTAATCCAATTTTCATAAATTATCTTCGCGACGGATTCGGCTGAAGTATCATCGGTAGGTATTGCTTCTGGCCATCTTGTTGTTCTGTCGATCATTATTACGAGATAACGATGTCCTTGCGGTGAAGTAGGTAATGGTCCAACGATGTCAACGTGCAAGTGTTCGAATCTCTCCGTGGGTGGAAATGTAGCTAGACTACTTGATGTATGCCTTTGTACTTTGCATTTTTGGCATTGAATGCATTGCTTCGCCCAGTTGCCAACATCCGCTTGCATTGCAGGCCAAAAGAATTTTTCAGTGATGAGTTTTCTTGTTGTTCTAACACCTGGATGACTAATGTTGTGCAGTGTATTGAAGACTTCGCGACGACATTCTTCTGGTATATATGGTCGCATGGTTGTCGTTAAGGCTTCACAGTATATAGGTAGATGCGTCATTGGCATTGTAACTTGCTTGATGGACAAGTTACCTTGCTTCGATAGATGTTTTATGTTGTCACTATCTCTGTCTTGTGCTGCGGCGATCTTATGATAGTCGATTGATGTAGGGCACGTTACACTGTCGATTGGTACGCGACTGAGTGCGTCGGCAACTATGTTGTCCTTTCCACTGATGTGACGTATGTCGGTCGTGAATTCACTTATGAAAATAAGTTGTCTTGCTCTTCGTGGTGTTTCCGATAGTGATGGTTTCTTTGGAAGTACATATGTTAATGGCTTGTGGTCGGTAAAAACGATCAGGTTTCGACCCTCGAACGTTTTTCTGAAGTGCTTGATAGCCATGTAAATAGCGAGTAGCTCTCGGTCGAATGTACTGTAGTTACGTTGAGTATCGGAGAACTTCTTCGAAAAATATCCAAGTGGTTGCCATTTCCCATTGCTGTATTGTTGGAGAACTGCTCCTGCTGAGAGATCGGATGCGTCGCTGAAGATAGCAAGGGTTGCTTCGTGTGATGGGTGAGCGAGTAAAGCTGCATTTTGGATCGCAATTTTACAAGCTTCAAATGCCTTCGTGGCTTCATCGTTCCATTCGATTGACGTTTTATCTTTTTTCTTCGTGTTGTGAAGGTAGGCGTGAAGTGGTGCTTGGATTTCAGCGGCTTTAGGTATGTGTTCTCTGTAAAAATTTATCATCCCAAGAAAACGCCTTAGCTCTTCGATAGTTTTAGGTTTTGCATAATCGATGATTGCTCTGACTTTTTTGGCAGGCGGTTTTATTCCTTCCTTGCTGACGGTGAAACCAAGAAATTGAACTTCTTGCTGTCCAAATATGCATTTCGAAGGGTTGATTGTGATTCCGTTGTCTTCTAATCGCTGTAGCACGGTGCGTAGATGGGTTTCGTGCGTTTCTTTATCAGGGCTTGCAACAAGGAGATCATCAATAAATGCGAAAACGAAATCCAGTCCATGAAGTACTTCGTGTATGAATCTTTGGAAAGTTTGACCTCCGTTCTTTAATCCTGGGATCATTCTTGGGAATTCGAATAATCCCATTGGGGTAATTATTGCTGTCTTCTCTATGTCTTCATCGCGGACTCTTATTTGTTGGTAAGCTCGGTTGAGATCGATGGTGGAGAATATAGTCTTGTCTGATAGTTGATGAGTGAAATCCCTGACTCGCGGTATTGGGTAGCGGTCAGGAGTGGTAATAGAATTCAGTCTTCTGTAATCTCCACAAACTCGTAATTCTCCGTTCTTCTTCGGTACAATGTGAAGTGGTGATGACCAAGGGCTTTTGCTTGGACGGCATATTCCTTGCTCAATCATGTTTTCGAATTCCTTTCGAACTTGCTCGTATAGGTGTGGTGCGATTGGACGTGCACGACAATGAAGTGGTGGTCCATTGGTGTCGATGAAATGCTCAACGTCGTTCTTCGGTGTTAATTTCATTGAAGTTATTCTTGTGATACCAGGGTATTCTTGGAGGATCTTGTGATACGGTTGTTGCACATCTATGCTTCTTATTGTGGGCAGATTGGTTGCTTGTACAAAAGACTGAGATGCAAGATTGGTTTTCCCGTCGATGATTCTTCTATTTTTGATGTCGACGACCAACTGGTGATGTTGAAGAAAATCAGCACCGATGATTGGTTTGCTGACTTTAGCGACGATAAATCTCCATTTGAATGGTCGGCGTAGATTAAAATCAAGTTCCATTGTTTTTTCTCCATATGTAGGAATAACCGTATTGTTTGCTGCATAGAGTTGAAAATCTAGTGGCTTCAACTTCTGTCCTTGCTTCGGCGGTAACACTGAGATATTTGCTCCGGTGTCGATAAGGAAAGTAAGCTTGCTTTTTTTATCGGTGACGAAAAGACGGTAGGACTTTGCTGTTACGCTGGATCCCGTCGCATCGAGCGTACTAGTTAGTTTTCCGTATTCGTATTTTCATTTTTGAATGTACACGGTGCTGTGCATTTTCTTGCCTCGACCCCGAAACGTCGATGATAGTAGCAGTAAGGGGATCTTGATGTTGAGCTTATTCGACTTCTACTTGCAGAGCGGTTGCGACGAAAAGGTGATCTTCGGTGTTGCTGATTGCGCTGGTTGTACTGTTGCTGGTAAAAGGTATGATGCTGGGAAGCTTTGAGCGCGGCGACTTCGAATGATAGCTTCCGAATTTCTTCGAGAAGAAACTGGGTATCATTGGCCTTTGTTGAAGTGCCTTCGATGATCGATATGTGTGAGCTACTGCTGTTTTCGATCATCTTGTCCGCCAGGAGTGCCAGTTCGTCGAGCTTCGTCTGCGTGCTGAATGTTTCGCTGACTGCTATTACCGATCGAATATGTGGTGGTAGGTGGTTTACCCACATTAGCCGTAGTGTTGAATCCGGAACTTTATCTCGCGCCAAAGTACGCATTTTGCGTAGGAGTTGTGTGGGTTTCTGGTCTCCAAGTTCTATTTCTGATAGAAGTTTTTGTAGCTGTCGACTGTCGGATTCTTCGTATGCGGAGATCAGCCGATCCTTCAGTGAATTATACTGGTCGACTGCTGGTGGGTTGTACAACAGGTCCGCAATTTGTTCGATGTCTTGTTTCTCAAGTTGGGCTATCACCATCTGTGCTAATTGCGCTTGGCTCTTCTTTAAACCATTCGTTGCGGCTTCAAAACTGACGAACCAAAGTCGTGGTTTGTCTCTCCAAAACGGTGGTATTCTTAACGATAGAGATATACCGGCGATTTCTGGTTCATTTACCGGGTTTGATGTATATGTGTTTGCCTCCTGCTCCATAATGACGGCTTGATTACACTGATTTTATATAAACTGAAGTCTTCCTTCTCGGTGTTCGTACGGGTTTCCTTCGCGGTGTTCGTGCAATAGTAGTGGTACGTCGCAGGGTGTTCCTTCTTGGTGTTCGTACCGGATCTTCCCCCTCGGTGTTCGTACGGGGTCACCACTGTAATAGTGGAGACGCACTGTCCACTATTAACAGACTCCGAGTGGTTTTCTTTAAGGTGGAGAAATGAAACTACTGTTTATGTTTATGAATGTACTGTCGAATGGGATTCGGAATGGAATATATTTTGCATCAACCTTGCCTATATTTATATGGCTGGCTCACTATTGATTTGCCAATGGTAACAATTAATATTTTGCCTAGCCAAAAATATTGCTTATTTTATGACCAATGAAAACTATTTAAAATATACAATTATCTACGTTTTCGTTTCCCGGCGTGAGACTTGTTTGTTGTTCACGAAGCTACGTCGCTGGACCGGGCTATATAAGACATGCAGATCGGTGCGCACGCGTAGTCGGCGGTCGGCGGCGGTGTGGAATACAGCTCCGGAACAGCAAGAGGAAACGAACTGCGGCGTTGAGGAAACGGCTCACCATTGGTCGACGGATACGTGACGATAGCGGCGTGTGAAGTCGGTGTGGCGCTGAATGATATTTGCGGCTGCTTCTTGTTTCTTTATAAGAACGTCAAATTATCTATATACAGTCCGCAGTATCTCAGTAGCCAAGAATAATTAGGAAATAAAATTTATTCTCGCCTTCCGCGTTATGGTAGCAGCGGAGTATATATTATTTATTCCCGTTTCGGTTTGATTAATCTGGCTGCTACAAGTGTTTCAATAGACTTTTGACACTTTTCGGTCCAAACGAAATTAGTATTTTTTCTACAAAGTTGGTTTTTAATGGTTGCGCATTTGCAGCAAACTTTGGTATAAACTTTCTATAATAATTTGTGAACGCCACAAATCTTTTAACTTCGTCGGCATTCTGCGGACAAGGATAGTTTTTTACTGTATTTATTTTTTTAGGATCAGGTAAAATCCCTTCGTTAGATATACAATGTCCCAAATTTAAAATCTGTTTTTTAAGAAATGTACATTTTGAAGGATTTAATTTTAAATTTACTGAACGAAGTCTTTCAAAAAACATCCTGTAAGTTTTTATTGTGGTGGTCTAGTTGTCTACCAAAAAAAATGACGTCATCTAAATAAATTAAGCATTTTTCATTATTTAGTCCTGACATTGCTAAATTCATAATTCGCGAGAAAGAACTGGGACTTGTTTTTAATCCCATGGGCATTCTCGTCATCTGGTATTGACCAGAATTGAAAGCAGTAAATTTTCGACAACTTTTATCTAAATTAACATTGTAATACCCTTGATATAAATCTAAATGCGTAAAATATACACTTCCAGACAAAGATTCTAAGATTTCTGTAATATCAGGGATGGGGTACTTATCGTCCCCTATACAGTTATTTCATTTACGGTAATCCACAACCAATCGCCATTTTTTATTATCCGATTCATCTAATTTTTAGGCACGAATAATATTAGGCTAGACCAGTCACTTTTACTAGGTTCTATAATCCCTTCTTTAAGCATGTTGCTAATTTGACGATTAATTTCCTTTTTCTGACTAATTGGTAACCTATAGGGTTTTGAAAACACTGGACTAACGTTTGGTTTCAAAAAAAATATTGTGAGTTTAAATATCTGTTGTTGTCAATTTATCGCCCTCTAAATAAAAAACGTCTGCATATTTTGCACAAATATTTTGAATACTTTGAATTTCTAAGTCATTCAAATTATTTAATTTTAATGAGAAAAATAATCGTTTTACTCGGTCTGAATTATTCTCATTTTTTTCAAAACTACACATATTATAATCGTTAAGATCATGAATTGCAGGATTTATCGCATGTTACTGATTTTTCAGTAACATTTAATATTTTTATTGTAATTTTTCCCCTAATTGGTGTCGCTATCGAGCTAGCCAAATAAACGCCATCTTGTAATTCTTGAGAACAAATAATGCAATCGGTTTGAAAATCAGTTTGAATATAATGTATGGATTCACTTCTTGGGGGAATTTTCAATACGTTAATATTGTTGCGCGAGTATAAGTCGACGTCATGTATCCGGCATTAGCGCCACCTAATGTCAGGGAAGAGAGCGAGGGGAGCTTTCTAGAAAATGACATCACTAATCTTTCAACCGATAGCGCCATCTAGTCTCGGAACGAAGAACTAAGCTTCTAGAAGCTGACGCTCGAACTCTCGGCCCCTTGCGCATGTTTACTTGAATATTCTGGATGTTTCGGTGCTAATTTGTATTTATAGGTACTGCAAGATGCGATCGGGGAAGTATTGAATGGCGAGACAAGCGAAGCTTCGGAGCGAAATAAAGTGAATTAGTGTGATTAATTATTAGTGTTTTAGTGTTTTAAGTTTTAATTTGTGTAAAGAAAATTAAAGTGTTAATTTAGGTAATTTTATCGGCAATTTTTATTGTCACGAACCCTAAGCTCGTAACAATTGGTGTCAGAAGTGGGATAAAATCATGCCGATTTTACCTAAGGAAGAAACAGAGGGTGTCCGTATCCGAAATCAACGCCAACAGGAAACGGACCAAAGAAGATTTGGTGGTGCAACGTCGCAGACATCGGAGGGCCAGCCGCCGGCTGCAGGCCCGTCAGTAGCTCCTACATCAGCAGCATCTGACTTAGGTGCTCTGATGGTGATGCTGCAGGAACAGGCTCGTCGACAGGAGGAACAGGTCCGTCAGTTGAAAGAGTAGCTGCAGAGCGGACAAGAGGAACAGGCCCGCCGACAGGAGGAACAGGCCCGCCGACAGGAGGAACAGATTCTCCTCATGAAAGACTTTCACGCTACCTTTGGGAAATAGATAAGGGAAGTGAAGGATAGGGTTGCTCAACATGACAACCGCCTGTCGGAAGCTGAAACCCGAATCGAAGAACATGAAACCCGAATCAACCATGTGAACAATCGGGTTGACAACGTGATGGCTGACGTGAAGAAAACGCTAAACGACCTCAAACTTGGGGATGGAACTACAGCTCCCGTAGTAGCTACAGCACCTTCGCTACGTGGATTCAAAGTGCCGCCGTTCGACGGGATTTCTTCCTGGTCGGCCTACAAAATCCAGTTCGAGGCCGTCATGGAGGCAAACGGCTGGAATAAAAGCCAGGCCAAGACTGCACTCACCTTAGGCCTGCGCGACCAAGCCTTAACCGTGTTGGAAGCTCTCGGTAAGAAAGTGACCTACGAGCAGCTCCTTGAGGCATTGGAGGCGAGATATGGTGAGGCTCACCTGGAACACGACTTTCGCGCGCAGCTCAAAGATCGCGTGCAATGCAGCAACGAAAACCTGCAGAAGTGGGCCCTTGAGGTGGAAAAGATGGTTCGAAAAGCATACCAGTCTGTACCCGCGCTCATTGAAGGGAATCTGGTGCAGACATTCATCGACGGCATCCGCGACCTTGAGGTCAGATCTGCTGTGAGGCTCGGGCACCACGAGACGCTTAAGGACGCCTTGGCCCATGCACTGGAGGTGGAATCCGTGCGGCAGGATCATCGTTTCCATCGCGTCAGGGAGGTTGCAGCAGCTACAGTTCGCGACCGCAACAAAGGATTCAGCCCTAGGTGCTATGGCTGTGGGGAAAAGGGCCATCTATGATCCAGCTGCCCTAAGCGAACTGTAGAAAGGAAAGTTGATCGATCTCGAGAGGGTAGTGCAGCTAACGGCACCGCCTGGCAGTGGCAGCAACATCATTCCCCTCACGCTAGGGAGGTTGCAGCAGTTCGCGACCACAATAATGGATACAGCCCTAGGTGCTATAGCTGTGGGGAAAGGGGCCATCTTCGATCCAGCTGCCCCAAGCGAACCCTAGAAAGGGAAGGTGAACGATCTCAGAAGGGAAGTGCGGCTAACATCACCGCCCAGCAGCAGCCGGGATACGACTTTACTATCAGACATCGCAGCGGGAAATCTCATGGCAACGCAGATGCATTGTCAAGAAGACATTGTCCTGAAGATTGGAAACATTGTACTAGGCAAGAGAGTAAGGAAGTGGTATCCGTGAAGATGCTCAGGACAGACCACCTCAGCAACGAGTGGAAGGACAGCCTACGACATGCACAGCAGGAAGATTCGGAAATCAAGCCGATTCTGTAATGGATGAAGGCCAGTGCTCCCAAGCCCAAGTGGAGCGACGTCTCAGCGATGAGTTCGACCACTAAAAGCTATTGGGCCTAGTGGGACAGCATGCTGCTTCAGGATGGAGTTCTGTGCCGTAAATGGGAAAATGTTCGGGGAGACAGCTGTCATTTGCAAATGGTCGTCCCTAAAGCTAGAGTACCGGATGTTCTACAGCTGTACCATAATGATTGTTCAGGAGGCCATCTGGGAGTTAAAGGAACTCTACTGAAGATCCGAGAACGGTTTTACTGGGTCCACTGTCGAAACGATGTCGAGGACTGGTGTCGCAAATGTATAAGTTGTGCGGCAGTAAAGGGACCTCAGACTCGTAGTAGAGGTGCATTGAAGTTGTACAATGTTGGTGCACCATGGGAGAGAATAGCCATTGACGTGGCGGAGCCGTTTCCGGAGAGTGAAAGCGGTAACAAGTATTTCATGGTTGTGATGGATTACTTCACTAAGTGGCCGGAAGTCTTCGCCATTCCAAATCAAGAAGCTTCAACAGTTGCAGATAAACTAGTTCATGAAATCTTCTGTCGTTTTGGAGTACCTTTAGAGATTCACAGCGATCAAGGAAGGAATTTTAAGTCTCAAAT